ATTTCTGCCAACACGAGGGGGAAATTAATCCTAAGTAAACTCCGAGGGATTTTCGGCGAGAGAAAAAAAGAATCGCAGAAGACTGATCAAAAAGCGAAGTGCTTGAGACCACGGAGATGAGCGCTAGATCACCAATCCTACTATGCCTGAGACTGAGCTTATGAATATTAAGTAGGCCATGTTAACGTTGCCGTATCCACCTTCAGTTAGCAATGGCTTGCCTCATGAATATTTATTAGGTTGTGCTGACGTCGCATCGTAACCGTCCAATAGTGAACGTTCGCTTATGAATGTTAAAAACCTGACCTCCGCCATAGTAGGAGTCCTCAATTTTCAGAACTTGACAGAAACTGACGCCAGAAAGATTTCATTTAAAACTTAGATTGATTTAATTTTGTATGCATTTTTTTCGTCGTAATGGTGTTTTGTTTGCCCCACCCCTTGTCTTTAAATACCCACATTTTGACAATACAACTAAATAATTGAAAACAAAAGGAGAATAAGATATAGTATATTGTCTTTATTTTCTTTTTTATTATACTGTTAGGTTTTAGATGACTGTGTGTTGTTAAAAAGACGTGAGGTAAAAAGACATCCAAAGACAGTTTGGTCATTTTATCTTATGTTTTCTTTAATAAAACATCAGTACTGTAAAATATCAACACGGTTACCCTGATATAGAAAATAAATAACCTAAAATAATAATAATAAAAATAATCCGTCTATGAAGCACCATTTAATTTACTTTACATTTACCTTGAAAAGGGTACCTTTTAAAAGACTTTAGGTACTACAGACTTTTTAAAGCGAGTTCATAAAAACCTCATAGCTGAGCAAAGCAATTTTGAAGGTTTAATCAATTTTCCAGTAACTAGGTGCGAAGCCTGATGGCGCTACCTCGTGGATTAAATCACATAAGCAGTGTTTGGGTCCCCAGGTAAAAAAACTTCCATAATGCACTTCCATAATGTACCTTAAATGCTATATTTTCACGCACTAATTTT